CACCCCCCCCGCCGCTACTGTCTCGCCGAACCTGGGTCTTATGTCGAAGCGTCTTGCGTACTCCTCGAGGTACTCGATGAACTGCTGTTTCGTGGGGTACGTAGGGAAATCGGCGGGAAAAGGCATGAGAGGGAGCTCGCAGAAGTGCTTGGGGAGATGCAGACGAAGACGATCGTAGGTCTTGACCTGCCAAAGCGATGCGACGCAGTGAGACCGCTCGAGGAGTACCGACGGTATCCCTCTCTCCTTCAGACACGCCGCCACCGCAAGCCCCGACGGTCCCGCTCCGACAATCACTGGCCCCGGAACGCAAACGCGCCTTACAGCCGGCGAACCTCCATCGCGGTCGCGTGATGACGTCATCACCGCGTTTTGGTGGTTCTTGATGATGAACAAGGGATCATGCGCTTGTTTCCCTTCTATCTCTCTCCTTGACCAGAAATCCATCAAGAAAATGTTAACCTAGATTCTTTAGTTTAGTTTTCTCTATCTATAATATGATAAGTATATATATATATATATATATATAGACGTTGTATATGTGCGCGAGCGCGCGTGTATTTACACGCGTATGTGTGGTGTATACGTGTGCGTATTTACGGGTGTGGGTGAAGGGCTCTTGAGCGAGACATTGGTAGCGAGAGTGAAAAAAAACAAAAAAACAAAAGAGAGATGGATAAAGGGAAATTTTGACCGTTTTGTTAAGATAATGTTGATGGGTTTTGGGAGAGATGAAAAAAAAACCTAAAAATTGTGAGCGAAGATGGGATCGAGATTTAGGGTTTTGATTGAATCTCCCGAAAAGGAGGGGGGAGAGAGATTTGGGTTGGATTTATCCAAATGAGGAGAATGAGTAAAGAAAGGGAGAGATAAGCGTTGTGTTGCGTTTGAGAGGGCAAACCGGAGGATGAGCAGAAAACTACGGGGCTCTTAAATCACCGTTCAAACATCCACAAGAGAGAGAGAGAGAGAGAGGGAGAGAGAGAGAGAGAGAGAGTGATGTGACTATATCTCGTATGTGTGATTGTGTGTGTGTGTATTTATATATGCGTGCGGATGTTTGTGTGTGTGTGTGTGTATATGCGTGTGAATAAAAATGCTGTGAATATTTATTTATATATATATATATATATATATATATATATTGGAGGAGGGTCTTTTTTGCTCATTTGTGAGATCTATTGTATTCCATTCCATTAGACTTTTTGAATTATATAAAAATCCTACAACCAAAGACATATTCCATAAATTTTGGCGTATCCATCAAATCTCCAAATCAACCGTATGGAATCATTTCAGTTTTTGGTGTGAATCTTTGTTATTTTCCTGTTCGTGATCATTCTGTCCAGTCTATTGTAGTTGAACCGATGTATTCTTTTAGATAATTTAAGGACCTTCTTATTGGTTGGTTCAAAATAATGGATCATTAGATTGTGCTGAGTTAAACATATGTATTATACAAATATCTGAATAAATTGAGTTGAACGATTTATCTTTTATAAAAAAATGTATTTTATATCATTACAAATGGAAGTGTTACAAATAGATTTTAAAAAATAAAGAATCGTAGTTTTTTTTTGGTCAAAGAATCGTAGAATTTGATTATGAAATAGAAATATTTTTGTAAATGTATATTTTTATTAACTTTTTATATTTTACATATGTAATAATTACACACTTTATGGTACAATATTCTTTAGGGATGTATATATAGGTGAATTCTCTCCATATATATCTACATATGGGTAGAAAAAGTAATGTATTGCAGAATAGAAACATACAAGATCGATCATGAAATCTATATGGGTCTTAGCAATGATCCTCGGATTTATACACAGTTTACAAGTATAAATGGTACGATTAATGTGGCAACTTGTACTTCATATGTCTAATGTCTTCTCAAGTGGTACTATAAGTGTGTGTGTGTGTGTGTATATATATTTATATTTATATGAGGAAATTAATGTTAGTGTGAAGCTTTTGATTGGGTATATGGCTAAATGCTAAAGGGGAATGAGAAACGTTATTAAAATAAAACCACTTATTTATTAGTTATATCGGGGAGCCTTTTATTTCCATTTAATTTTTTTTATTATTATAATATGATTGATGTGATTGGAGAGGGAATAATGATGGTTAACGATATTAATATTCGCATTAGTTTATTGCAAAATGATATCTTATTCAACATATGTGGTGCCGAATTGAAATATGAAATCGAATTTATTTATTTCGTACATTTTGCTTAAATTTAATTTTATATATATATGTGACAAAACACTGTAGAAATAACAACTATCCAATAAATTGTATCTACATATAATACTATAAGGAAAGAAAGAATCGTTCTAATAGGAAAGAAAATGAGATCATATTGGGTAAATGCATTTGATCGTCCGTGTAAATGGCTTTATCCAAAAATTGAAAAATAAAATTTATAAAAAATAAGAGATAAATGTAAATGAATATAATATATCCCACTGAATCACTAGTTATATAGTATCAGAAAAATATTGAAAAAAAAAATCATATATGCCCCATAGCTAACCTAATGTATAATGAGGGACTATATTTTCTCGTTTCTTATGGATATATTATATATAGTCTAATTTTGATAATTAGCAAGTGAGCTTTAATTAATTGTTCAAGTGAGACTAATTAATCATATAGATATAAAATATGGTATCCAACACCAATTATTTTAATCGAAATATATTATTATTTTTTTCTTATTTATACGACTTAAAATAATTGTAGCTTTTGAATGTTCATTGCAAGGAAATCGTCACTCTACATGTCACAGGGAGAAAAACAGGAACCTCATTGGACGTTGATGTAAGTGGAGTGAAGATCCCCCAAGTGAGATTACAACTTCTAGAAGATATCGCTAATCCTTAATTAATTGACCACTTGAATGTATAATCCCGATTAATCACTCCTAATCAAATAAGGATATATATAATCCTAATTGGGCGTTTCATGCATTTCGACTTCGTTAATTGTCGCGTAATAACATATATTATAACGATACATTGTAGAAAAATCGCGACGATATTTGACTTACCAACATGTATTATTTATTTATTTTTTAAAAAAGAAATATCTAATTTTAGCTTCTATTGAATGATTCTACAGTGGAATCACCTAATTTTAGTGTTTGATGAAACGGCGATATTTCGGATTTTGATTATTTTTTGGTCTCCGAACTATAATTTCTCGTTTTTTTATAACAAATATATACATTTATTTTAAATTTGATCTTTAATTCAATAAACAATTTATTTAATCCGTAAAAAATTCATTTTTAAGAGATTTTTTATTTTCCTTTTTTTGCCGTTTTATTTTTTTTTTAATTTAATGTTTACTTCATTTTATTTTGGTTATACAAACTCATCCAATAGATTTTAGATCGAATTACGACTATATATTATTCAATTTGGTACGATTTTTTTATATATCCAAACAAAAATGTCTAACCCTACTATAAACAAAATTGGTTATTAAGTGTTGTTATAGCTGAATATAAATGTTTTTTAGATCATCTTAGCAAATACACTAAAAACAAGCACCTTAGTTAATTCATAATTGTAAAAGGATCGTACACCAAATAGAAATAGATGCTTTGATGTGTCATACATGATGTTTGTATATATACCTAAATTAATTATAAAGCCTGTAACTATAAAGTTGGCAAAATTAATTTTGTGGAGATGAAATTGATTGAAGAAAATAGGGGCGGGGGAAAAGGAGGGACTAATTTTAAATTAGATAAAGAAAAAGAAAATCATATTATAAAATTAGGTTTGATATAAATATAAATATTGATGATTGCAGAAGGCCGAAAGGTTTGTGTTAACCTAGGAACTCTAGTAGTTCGCGGAAAGATGGATTAAAAAAAAACTTACATGTAAAATAAGAATAGGGGTATATATAAGCCTATGTGTACTAAACCATATAGTATAATAAATAAAACACGCAATTAAATGGATAAATTAGAGAAAATATAATTTTTAGAAATAATTTTCGATAATATGTTTGGTTATATGCAAAATTACGTATCCATATTAGTGCATGATAAATTTGTTTTTAGCATGTGAGGAATTATTCCAAACACGGGAAGAACTCTGGCATGCGAAATAAATATTCATGGGAGTTTTATAGTGTATATATATATATATATATATATTTTATATATATTTGAATAGAAAGTGAAATGTAAAATATGCAAAAAGTAATATATTATTAATTTAATAATTTGCAAGTCTGAAAAGACAATGGGAACTGAGTTCAAGTTAGAGATCAAGGAAAAGTTGGATTCTATAAATATAAATATATAGGAGGAGACATGCATGTTACTAAATTTCTTTAGTTAAGTTATCACTTTGGAGGTAATAGGCTTTATAGAGCCTATGTATAGGTAGGGTTTAGATAAATTAGAAACTTTTTTATTTATTTATAATCATACTGTGATACCAATAAAAATTTATGCTATAAAGTGCACTGAAATTTCAAATAAATAAATTAAAAAATAATGCTAATTTTTGTGATGAAAAAAGGAAGAAAAACTAACTAAAGCTAAAATTAAGGTAGTCAAAGGTGAACTTCTTCTTCACCAATTTTTTAAAACTTTTCTATATTAGAAAAATGATTTATAATGAATTATCTGAAACATGTATTTATAAATGGATAAAATAATAGACAGCTAAAGTAACTCGTAAAAGTGTTCATATAAATTAAATTAAGCATATGAATTTCTTATATAACACAATACAAAATATCTCCAAAATTAGGCAATTTTGAATAATTCAATTCTTTTTTTTTTTGGTAAAATGTGATTGGAATAATTCAATTCTTTCGTTGGGATAAAAATAAAAAAGATCGTATAGAATTTAGTTATCAGTCAACTTATTACTGCGTTCAAAATAACGCATGGATATTATTTATTAACTTCAAAACCCTAAAAAAGAGAAAAATTCTAGACCAATCACAAATGTGAGTTGTAATTAAAGAAAAAAACAATGTAAATAAAAGGAATTTAATACATTAAAAACTCCTCAAACTAATGTAAATAAAAAAACTGTTAATCTTTTTTGCCCGCATCATATTTGCCTCCATAAGATTAATCCTCATAGCTCTTGTAAAAAAAATACAAGGAAAATTGGACGAAAATAAAAAGACAAAACTTTATGAAAAAAAGATAGAAAAGAAAAAAAACAGAACATCTTATGGCAGAGAACAGGCGGGAAATAGGACCAATGTGAATGGAGATGAAATTAAAATAAAAAAAATGGAGATGAAATTTGAGTTATATTTTATAATTTAATCAACCATATTTAAGTTAAATTTTTTATTAGTTAAATAATTGAGACAGGCCTTCCAAAAGAAAACAATTTTATAACATTTGTTGGGAAATTATTTAGATTAGGGGATAACAAAATAATGGATTTGGAAGGGGAAGAAAAAGAAACTGTGTAACGTCGTGTATTGGCTGATCCCCGTCACTAACTTTGAATTATGCACTTCCTAAACTAAATTTGATTTTATCATGCACCACTAAGTATCTTGGTGCAATGCATCTATTTATTTTATCCAATAATCACGATAATAATAATAATAATAATAATAATACTTGTGAATGGTTGTGGTCTCCATGATGATGATGATGATATCGTTACCATTTGGCTAAAACTTACATTCCATACATATAGATGGGCATATACATACGTAGTGTGTGTGTATATGTATATGTTTAGCTGATTTTATAATATTTCATGTTCTTCTTTTGTAACAAAACCAATTGCTGATGATGATAATGATTATTATTATTATTATTATTATTAGTATTATTTTGTTGTCGTATAGTTAATTATGATCTTTACCATGCATCCACTTCTTATTATTCTAAAATTATTATTTTTTCTTTCTATTTAATCCAAATGAATTATATAAGCTTCGATCTTATCTTGTTATTTATAATTATAATCTTGATCTCTTGCTAATAGTCTTTTGGTTTTCGGGTGATGATATATATTTCTTACACAGGTAATATGAAGAAAACTAACGGAATTATAGGTGAGTTGGAAAATGATTTACGTGTAAGACAAACGATATATACATATAACGCTTGTGTATAAATATAATTAAGGTTAATAAAGACGTTTATGATCTATATGGTAAAGGTGTTAATGACAGTTAATTAATGAGATTAATGACATGAAAAAGAAATAAAATACTACCGACTAAATTCAAGTGAGATTGGCGTCAGACTACAAAGGAGTTGACTTTGTAGTTTAATAGTCATCAAGCACTAATTAACCAATGGTAGATTTGCATTAGCAAATTCCCTTTTGCTTTTCCCATAAACATTATTTGCCTCGTGATGTTTCCTTTATTACGTAAATATTTTTTTTTTCTTTAATATCTTATATTTGGTTGAAATCTTTACAGTCGACCGTAGCTAGTTCACATATACGTATATAAAAAAACTAGTTATTTAGTATTTTTTTTTTAAATCCGGAATTTTTGACCCAATTACGTACTATAGAGAATTGGAAAAATATTTATGAATAATTCTCTCCAAATGGAGACTCGAATCTGTGTTAAAAAATAACTTTAATCCACTTTTCACCGGTTAAAACACCTAATCTTATATTAATTACGTACTATTAAGTATAAATATTCAGTATATTTGATCAACGAGTCTCTAAATAAAAGTATCTTATACTTCCAAATTATTTCGAACTAGCTAAGGCGATGAACTTAATCTATATATGAATCGCTTTATCTTGTTGAATGTGAGTAATCAAATGAAAAGAAAAAACAACAAATCTTTGTCTCTTTATAATCTTCCATCTCTTTGTCAATATACAAAATTCAATCACTTCCGGCACTAATTTAAAGGTGTGTATATATAGACAGTGATAAATAGTAATTAAACATAAAAGTAATTGATTCTTGTATATACTTATATATAAATTTAAAAAATCAATTAAAGTAAAAGAAACAAAAACCAAACTGGTTTTATCTTCAAACGAATCTGTGTTAAAAAATAACTTTAATCCACTTTTCACCGGTTAAAACACCTAATCTTATATTAATTACGTACTATTAAGTATAAATATTCAGTATATTTGATCAACGAGTCTCTAAATAAAAGTATCTTATACTTCCAAATTATTTCGAACTAGCTAAGGCGATGAACTTAATCTATATATGAATCGCTTTATCTTGTTGAATGTGAGTAATCAAATGAAAAGAAAAAACAACAAATCTTTGTCTCTTTATAATCTTCCATCTCTTTGTCAATATACAAAATTCAATCACTTCCGGCACTAATTTAAAGGTGTGTATATATAGACAGTGATAAATAGTAATTAAACATAAAAGTAATTGATTCTTGTATATACTTATATATAAATTTAAAAAATCAATTAAAGTAAAAGAAACAAAAACCAAACTGGTTTTATCTTCAAATCCTTAATTAGCCTACTCAGCTCTCTTTTTTTTTTTTTTTTTTTTCCTTTGAGCGTCTCTTTTGTTTTTTCTTTGTTCTTTGGAGCATTTACATTCGTGGGGAAATAATGACTTTTAGTCTTGGAATTAATTAATTAAAAGGGTAGATAATTCGCACGGGTCGGTCCATATTCTATACAATTATTATCCCAAGATTTTACTTTCTTTAGAAATATAATAAAGTGGAGAATAAAGAGAACAATAAACTAAAATAATTATATTGTTTTTTAGTATTCTAATTGCGATGGGGCATTTAATAATAACTCAATCTATCTAATGATTATGAGATTAAGTGGAGTTGTGAGAAAAGAATAAAGCGAAGAGGTGTGGAAGTCTAACATGATTAAAGAAGTTAACATGCTCTCAAATATACAATGATATAATTTTACTTAAACCATGGTCTAATAATTTGATATTCTTCTACTTAATAATCCAAACATGAAATTGTGAAAAATTTTCCTACTTTTTTTATATATTCTATTTGGTTAATTTTTTAATTTTTTAAATAAAAACATCTAAATAGTGATAACATCAAAATAAAATTTAAAATATATCTTGAAAATTTAATATTAAAACATTCTATTTTATTATATTATATGTGTATATATATTTTAAAATATAAATTCATAACTAAATAAAGAGCCTATCTTTAACATATATATATATATATATATATATATATATATTTTCTAATACATAATTTGGTTTAAAGATTATACTAATAATTTTTTTACTTTGCACCTACTGTATTTATATAAAATTACTGTACATTTATAAAAAATGTATACCGTATGTTTCTTTGGGATAATCACTAAACCACTTATGACAACTTTTGAACCATTTATAATTTAAAATCTTTACGCCAGGAAAATTAAATAGTAAAATATCATGGTATTTATTAAAAATATATGCCATTGTTACCTAAAAATAGATATTAAATTGTTACTACAAATATTACAAAAACAATATATACTTATATGAGAGAGTGTGTACGAATAAACACAATCTCCCTTTACGTTCCATCATCATTCAAGCATAGAATGATGAATCTATTCGATAATGACCTGTCTTTATAAGAGAAGGAAACACACCAAATTACAGAATGAAAAAAAAAAGGTTAAAACATTTAAAAAGAAAAAAGAAAAAAGAAAAAGAAAATTAAAGTGGCAAACCCCGGATTACTTGGTGGAGGAGACATTAATACTATTTTAGTTTTATTTATTATTTAGCATCATAATATATTTTTATTTTAAAATTCTATGAATACATTAATAGAAAACCAAACTTAATTAATGAAATGACAAGCTAAAATATATTGATGTGATTTTTTTTAATTGTTCCTTGAGTCTTTCTTTATCAATTAATTGATAAACAAACGAAACAAACAAATATGTTATCTTCCTTGGAAAAAAATAGATATATTAAAATAATTACGGAGAAGAATAATCAAATATGTACGAAGGTTCTTTAATTAACACAATTTTATTCCGTTGTTAGATTAATAAATATAACAAATTACATGGAAGAAAAACAAAGACAAGTGTGGAAATTTTTTTTACTTGGTTCATTTAAACGACGAAACAGAGTTTCTACACAGAGACAAAAAGAGAAGAAAATTCAAATTCTAAAACAAAAACAACACTAAACCGGATCTTAACCAGAACCATGAACCAATTGAACCAATCGACCCAGAATTACTCTCTATGATTGGATTGTTGATATACATACATAATATATATATATATATACATATACAAATTTGAATAGTTCAACCGGTCAAACGCGCGCCAGAGCATCTGTTCCGTCCCGAGTTCGGACTTTAAGTTTGGGAATAAAACGTATATTCCAAATCATGTGGTTAGTCTCTAACTCCGAAATTAGTCTAGATTTTGGTTACAGAAAACAAAAATGTATACGTGTACATATAAATGGGTATATGGATGTGGTGAGGTAGCTATGTATTTCACGTAACGAAGAGGAGAGCATCGTTTCGAAGAGTAATTGGTTTTGGGGGGAGAGTGGCGATTCCTACCGGAAAGCACGACCAACATGAGAGAGAGAGACAAGTGAGCTGTCTTCGCGCCCAGCCAATGCGGGTTTGCCAAACGCGCCCTTTGTGCTATAAAAGAGTACTATCGGCCGGTCATCTTTAATCCTAATTAGTGGATGACTAGATCACACTAATCCTCCCACCATATACTTCTTCCCTTTTTTTTTAAAAAAAAAAACGAAAATGTAGCATCGATATGTGTTTTATTATACTGTTGATTTAATTTAATAAACCATGAAAATCTTTTCCCAATATAAAATTTTAAACTTAAATTGATTAATTAATTGGAACTAATTGATTGAGTGATATATATAGATGCTCAAACAAACAAAAAAGGGTCCGCACATACATCAAATTTGGAATGTTCTTTATATTTATATTTATGTGCAAATTGGATTTTTTTTAACCATCCAATTTTTTTATAATGTAATCATATATAAATTCGTAAATTTTTTTATTGGTATTTTGATGGCATTTAACGATTCTAAATTCTATTCGACAAATTTTTTAATAGTTATGTGTTGTGATTGTTACATTACATTGCATTGAATTAATTAAAATCTAATTTAGTTAAGCATCCGCTATGGAAAAAAAACTATGAATTTGTAAAATAAAGATACAAATATTTGGAATTTGATATAGTTAAAAAGATGTTCAATTTCTTAGTGTACGAAACAGCACAAAAGCGCACCGCCTTCGTCGTGTGTGGCTTTAAGATCCAGAGACGCAACGTCGTCGTTCCGCCGATTATCTTACCAACACTGCAAAACGCCGTCGTTTCAAGTCATTCGATAACAAACGATGAATTTTCAGACGAATTCCTAAAGACGCTCTGTATATTACACACATCATAAGCTCACTCAGAATGCTACCATAGTTTACAAAGAAAAATCTCGGCTTTCTACTGAACAGAAACACGAGGAAAACACAACTACCTGAATTCGGTAATACGGTTCTTGGTGGTATTGTCTTGTTCTCTGTCCTGTCTTGTTCAGTGCTTGAGCCAGTAGTTTCTCAGCTGAGACATGTGCAATAATATCTCGTCCCGGCCTTGGTTCGTCACACTGCTCGTCATTATCCACGGAGGCGCTGTCTCGAAGAACCCACGTATCAGATCCTGGAAATCCTTCATGTTCTCCTCCGGCCTCTTCCCTCCGTTCTTCTTCTTCTTCCTCTTGTCGCACTTTGTGAATACCAGCGTCATCGGAATCTGGAGTGCCCAGAGACAGAAACCTCTTGTTGGAAACACGGGTTTTGCCATGTCTCTCCGGACAATTAAAAAAAGAGTTGTCTTTTATTACCTGATTCTGGCCAAGCCAACTTGCATAATCGAGATCGATCTTCTTTGCGGGAATGCTGGAGTCGATGAGGAGGAATACAGAGACCAACGTGGAGCGGTTGAGGAAGTAGTCTCGGGTGAATTTGCCCCAGTCCATTCTTAGTTCCTGTGGTGCTGCTGCATACCTGTGAATTTCCCCAGAAAGAAAGATATAATATGAATGAACTGAAATCTTCAAGAAAAAGGGACAGAATTTTTGGCAATTGTATAACAAAGTGAACATCATGATTAGTATGAAAGGATTGGCCAGGTTATCGAACTATGGAAATGTTCTGACAAGCAAATGGGAATATAGATATAAGGACTGACAAGCTTTTAACTTACCCGTATCCCGGCAAATCGACCAAGTACCAACTGTCGTTGATTCGGAAATGATTAATGCATTGCGTTTTTCCTACATGAACATATAATATATATCAAGGAATATACTCATTCGAGGTCTGCTCTCGGATCAAGAGCTGTGAGGAAGCTCGATTTTTGTATGCATCGAAACAAAAACCAAAAGAACTGATCAAGATATTCTAAAAGGATGTCTACTACGAGATCAACCCATACTGGTTTTCACCAGAGGAGTGGCAATGCTGGAAATTTAGACATTCTCATTACGATACTCTGATTCCATGAAACGATCAGATTCTCATCTGCATAGCCATAGATGGCAAGATCAAGAAAAACAAGTTCCGTCCTTTGATACCAAATCTCCTTCAGTATTCTTGCAAACATCACATGGATGATAACCAACTCAACGAATTGATACCGACATTGCCCAGTCCCTTCATAAACACTAACCAGTAATTCTTCAATCACTGAATACACACATATTTCCCACTTCCAAGACTAAACAGCCCATTTTCTCTCAAAATCTAATATCCAATATGGGGTTCTGAACTCGGATTTCATTGACTTGTTGGCTTAGGATGGAGACTGAAGATGTGTAAAGGAGTAAATCTGTGAGTGCAAACAAGTCATTCTACAGGTCGTACGGAATTCCTGATGTATTTGATGCTATCTCGCTAAATCAGGAGCACTAATTGCCACTAAAATCATATCAGAGTAACACCAACAGGAAAACCATATCATAATCAAGCACCAACAGGAAACAATGAGAACAGGGCAAACTCGTTTTTACCAGGTTTCTTAGAGGTCAAGGCTAGGCGTTTCCGCCGCACCAGTGAATTGAGGAGCGACGATTTCCCGACGTTAGACCGACCGACGAGCGCGAACTCCGGCAACCCATCCGCCGGACAATCCTCCGTCCGGACACTGCTCTTCACGAACTCGGCCTGAACCACCTGTGCGTCCCTTGCGTACTTGCTTAGCACGATGTTCGAGCCCTTCAGTATCCTCGTGGTTAGAGTCGCCGGGTCGTCGCACGAGATATCCGTCTCAGGCGGGACGAACAGCTTGTCGAGCGAAATCTCGACTGGAGCATCCTCGTTGTCCGATGAATCCGAGACCGGCAGAGGTATGGGCTCGACCGTGGATAGAGTGGATGCTGGAGCGAAGAAGAATAGGTTTCTGGATACTGTAATCGGAGGCTTAGGGTTTAGGAAATTGAAATGCGAAGGGGAGAGAGAGACTGCGGTTTTAGCGAAGACGGAGAAATGGATTCGTGGAAGCTGAGCTAAAAGCATAGCTGGTTATGTCTCCTTCGCTTCTTCTATCTATATGTGTCGGTGTACAAATAATCTTCTAGAATCTGTGAGCCGCCATGGGAGTGCGAAGAGAGAGCTTGCGGGCGGCGAGCGATGGGGAATGACAAGGGCAGGGACGGCAGAGGAAGGATGGCTGCATATCTCCAGCTAAACGCAGCGTTTTGGTTTTGGGTTAGTTGTTGGAAAATTTTCCTCTTTCACATTTTGCGCAGCATAGTTTTGTGCAATTTTAATTTCCACCCAAACATTGTATGCGTGCAGACAGAACCCCATGGAGAAATTTCTAAATATTTTTTAAGAAAAATTAGAATGCTTAGTTTATTGTTTTTTTTTGGTAAAATGCTTAGTTTATTGTTAGTGATTATGTACTAATTAAAACAAGATAGGGGAAAGGTTAGAGTTTGACAAACCTAAATGTACTCCTCAATTTACTTACCACACATCAAAAAATTTACATTTTAACTCAATCACTACACACCTTTTCAAAATATTTTTACAATTTAATATTTTTATAGATTGAAATATTTTTAAAACATATATAATCTTCCTTTATTTTTTCTATTGGAAAGGAATAGTTAATAGATTCAAAATATTACGACTATAAAAATATTAAAAATTAACAAATGATTTGTTTCGGAATTATTGTATTTGTTATTTTAATTTATGATAAAGTTTTTTGTGATAATTTGATGGATAAAGAAGTTTAAAAAATATAATTTATTTTTCAAATTTTAATCTGTATATTTGTAAATATTCAATGTTTTACTTAGAATTAAAATAGTTTTTCAACTCATTCAATAACTCATTCAATGATTACAAAAAAAAAAATGTTCCAGATTGGTAAGTAGGTGATCGAAAATAGAAGAGAGTACTTCCTTCATACGTTATAAGAATTCAGGGGTCAATTTGAGAACAACGAAAACTATAGGGATTTTCATAGGATATCAGACGACGTCGTCGAGAGGCAATCGAGTCGAGATCGGCATCTTTCTCTAGGCATGCTCGGTCACGGGAATCGACCAGTAGAAATCTCTCTCATTGTGCAGCTCGTGGTTCTGATATCTTCGGATATTCTCTGATCGTCGACAGATATCGGAATTCACTCTCCGGCGTATCTAACGGCCACACTTTCATCCGAAGCTGAGGTACCACTTTCTCGGCCATGGCTCCTCCTGCCGCGTCGCAGCGATACCCATCACCGTCGCAGCCTTCGGGGTAAATCCTTAGGCTCTAGCTTTAACACACTTTGAATCTCTCGATCGATCGATAGAAAATGGATTTCGCTATTTCCTGTATCGTTTTTAAGCTAGATTTAGGAGGAATTTAGGATTTGATCGTCTCGGACCGATGGATTGGTCACGATTCATGCGTAATCAGCACTGCTTAGTTCTCGAAGCTTTTGATCCGTATTGTTTCTGCTCGAAAAATCAGAAGTTCTCTAGTAGCCGATCTACGATGGTTGTGGCCTCATTTCTGAATTAATGGTGTAATGTTTCTCGATCTCGAGGGATTTGGCTCTATTATGAGCTTAACTATGTTGAATAAGCTCTGGATGATGAGAGGAAGCTGTTAGTTTCATTGTTTTGCTATTATTTGTTGATAACTTGATATGTTTTGTGAACTGCTCTCTCTTTGGTTGAATTGAGAGTGGGCTGACAATAAAAAATGTCGATCACCAGGAAAAGCGAAGTTTCGGATCTCAAATCACAGCTTCGGCAGCTAGCTGGAAGCCGAGCACCAGGAGTTGATGATTCCAAGCGTGACCTCTTCAAGAAGGTCATTTCCTACATGACAATAGGGATTGATGTCTCATCCGTATTTGGCGAAATGGTCATGTGCTCAGCTACATCAGACATTGTCCTGAAAAAGATGTGTTATCTTTATGTTGGGAATTATGCTAAGGTTAATCCTGATCTTGCCCTTTTGACGATCAATTTCCTCCAAAGGGATTGCAAAGATCAGGACCCTATGATCCGTGGGCTTGCTTTGAGGAGCCTGTGTTCCTTACGAGTGCCGAACCTTGTGGAATATCTGGTGGGTCCCTTGGGGAGCGGGCTAAAGGATAGTAACAGCTATGTAAGGATGGTAGCTGTAACTGGAGTACTGAAGCTGTATCACATATCAGCCTCAACATGCATTGATGCTGATTTTCCTCCAATGCTGAAACAGTTGATGCTTCATGATTCGGATTCTCAGGTTAGGTTTGTTCTGTATGGAGAATATTTTGTTGAGTGCATTTGGAAAACATAGGATAGAAGTGACATATCACTTGTATGGTTTGTGCGGTAAGCTCTTTGTATTATATTTTCAGGTAGTTGCTAACTGCTTGTCCGCACTGCAAGAAATCTGGAGCTCAGAAGCTAGCAACTCTGAGGATGCATCTAGGGAGAAGGAATCCTTGCTTAGCAAACCAGTTATATATTATTTCTTGAATCGGCATGTTCCTAAGCTCGTGTTTTAACTTTTGGTCACAATTCCTTATAGTTTTGATGACAGAGAATGGAGAGGTAACTCTCACTATTGTGTTTTTTGCCTTATGCAGGATCAGGGAATTTAATGAGTGGGCTCAGTGTCTTGTGCTTGAGTTGGCAGTTAAGTATGTGCCATCAGATAGTAGTGAGATTTTTGACATTATGAATCTGTTGGAAGACAGACTTCAGCATGCAAATGGAGCTGTTGTCCTGGCAACAGTCAAAGTATTTCTACAGTTGACACTGTCCATGACTGACGTTCATCAACAGGTGTCACCTCCGTGTCCTTTATCCTTTTATAATTGGAAGTATGTTTGTTTTGTACTAAATTTTTGAGCTAGTTTTTGAAATGTTCAAATTGTTAGTACAATATTTCTCGTGGTTAAATTTATCCAAAAGCTTCAAAAATTTGTTCTTTTGTAAATGATACACCATACAAAACAGTCACTGAAAGATGAAAAATATATATTCTGATTTTGACTGATTACCATATACTCTCGTGTTGATCTTTAACTTGACTGTCTCACTGATGGCAAAATTTTTGCTACAGGTATATGAGCGTATTAAGTCTCCGCTTCTGACACTCGTCAGTTCAGGAAGTCCAGAACAATCTTATGCAATTTTGAGCCACCTGCATCTTTTGGTCATGCGTGCGCCATTCGTCTTTGCCTCGGATTATAAACATTTCTACTGCCAATATAATGAACCTTCTTATGTAAAAAAACTGAAGCTTGAGATGTTGACTGCTGTCGCAAATGAAAGCAATACATATGAAATCGGTAATTGTTCCTAACTGTAGAGAGAGCAATTTTTTAATAAGGAAGCTTTCCTTTCTCTTGGCTCTTTTATTTGCCTGATGCATTTTTCTGGCTCTTCAGTGACGGAACTCTGTGAGTATGCTGCAAATGTTGATATTGCAATTGCAAGGGAGTCGATTCGGGCGGTTGGGAAGATTGCTTTACAGCAGTATGATGTAAATGCAATTGTTGATAGACTTCTTCAGTTTTTGGAGATGGAAAAGGACTATGTGACTGCCGAAGCGTTGGTAAAATATCATATCTACCAAATATCAAAGATGTTGCGCCATAATATTTGAAAACTGGTATTATCTGCATTTTCTTGACAAATTCACGTGTCTTGGTTCCTCGTATAGGTTCTTGTAAAGGACCTTTTAAGGAAGTATCCACAGTGGAGCCATGATTGTATTGCTGTTGTTGGGAATATCAGCAGCAAAAATATTCAGGAACCAAAAGCCAAAGCAGCTCTAATATGGATGTTGGGGGAGTATTCTCAGGATATGAATGATGCTCCTTATATTTTGGAGAGTTTGATAGAAAACTGGGAGGAAGAGCATTCTGCTGAGGTAGTTATGCATCATTTTCGTCGTTTTTCTGACTTTTGACCTATAATGTTCCTGTGATTCTGGCCTTCTGCACATGCCTGTTCTCTTTGTTCATACTTCACCCTGGAAATAACCATGTTGTTCTGTATACGGAAGGAATAGAAGAACAAATAGACGATAAAGAATGTGCAGTGTTAGGGGAGCTGTAAAAGTGTAACAAAGGGGTAGCTAGGATAAAACAGACGGAGATCAGTGGATATAGAATATATCGAGGAAGCAAGAACTGAATGCGAAAAGGGTGATGCGAACAAATAGTGAAGAGGACTTTGAGTCCCATATAATGGCTGGACAGCTTATGCATATCTGCCAATATATATTTGATGCTAGCTTTTACGGAAACAATGGTTTCATGTGTAAGCTGAAGATGCTGAAACATTCATGTGATCGGAGCTTGAATTCATTGAGCAGGTTCGGTTGCACCTCCTAACTGCGGCAATGAAATGCTTTTTCAAGAGGGCTCCTGAGACACAGAGAGCACTGGGAGCTGCTCTAGCTGCAGGGATTGCTGATTTCCACCAGGTATTGACCAGTCTTCCATTTCTACTTACTATTCTTAGGTTTTGGAAAATGGCAAGTCTCTTCTTGTTGGTTTTTAGATCTCTCATGGAACATTTATTTTCGGGTGTAGGATGTTCATGATAGAGCCCTGTTCTACTACCGGCTTTTGCAATATGATGTACACGTTGCGGAACGTGTGGTTAATCCTCCGAAACAAGCTGTTTCCGTCTTTGCTGACACTCAAAGTAGTGAAATCAAAGATCGGATTTTCGACGAGTTTAACAGCCTGTCCGTGGTCTACCAGAAGGTATGTTTGATGAGGGATCAGATTAAAATCGTACAGTCAGATTTATATTAAGATATTTTACAGGTTACCTTGTATATCATTATCATAAGTATCTAATTAGACCATATGCCCCAACTTTAACATATATGCACAAATTCTTGCAGCCGTCCTACATGTTCACAGATAAGGAACATCGTGGTCCGTTTGAATTTTCGGACGAACTTGGAAATCTCGCCATCACACCTGAAGCGAGTAACGAAATTGTTCCAGCCCATCAGGTCGATGCAAATGACAAGGATCTGCTACTTAGTACCGATGAGAAGGAAGACACCATAGGTGCTCATACCAATAATGGTTCTGCTTACACGGCTCCTTCACTCGACATCTCTTCTAATGTAACCTCACAAATGCAAGAGTTGGCTATCTCTGGGCCCGCTGTCTCGGGCGGCTCTGCCCCTCAAACCAGCTTCGCCATTGACGATCTCCTCGGTTTAGGTCTACCTTCAGCTCCTGCGCAGACCCCATTACCGCCTGCTCTGAAGCTTAACCCTAGAGCTTCTCTTGATCCAGGCACTTTCCAGCAGAAATGGCGTCAACTTCCGATCTCATTAACACAGGTTTTGTTTTGGAAGCTTTCCCTAACTTTTCCCTATTAGATCTTCTGTTATTTTGATGCATTGATATCGTCGGCTGGACTGAAAAGAGATTGTGTGCAGGAGTATTCCATCAGTCCTCAGGGTATTGCGGCACTGACTGTTCCGCAAGCACTTATTCGGCACATGCAAACTCACTCGATCCACTGCATTGCCTCGGGAGGTCAATCCCCGAACTTCAAATTCTTCTTTTTTGCACAAAAGGAATCGGAGCCATCGAACTACCTCGTGGAGTGTATCATCAACTCTTCAACAGGTAAAGCTCAAATAAAAGTGAAAGCCGACGACCAGAGATCATCTCAGGCGTTCGCCTCCCTCTTCGAATCCGCGCTATCAAAATTCAGTACGCCCTGAATCTTTTTTCATCTCTATATATCAATAACGTGCCCATCTTGCTTGCCATTAGATTATGTACATTGATGTACAATGCTACAGCCGAGATTTTTTTGTTTTGTTTTGCTGTTACTTGTTCTAGTTGTTGTTATATGTAAGAACATGAGAACTTTTGAGACATTACTACTAGGGTTTGGATCCAATTTTCAAAGGTGAGCCAATTTGTTGTACCAAAGTCATGTAAGAGTCTTTTATGGACCTGAAATTTTGAGTAACCGTCTGACCCACGAGTCGGGTACCCAAAATTTTTTGTAGTTGTCCCGACATGACGAGTACAGGTTTGACGGGATCCGATTTCGTGTTTGAATTCGGGTTTTGACCGGAGATTATGCATGTCCACAGATACTTAGTTGGAGAAGGGGCGAGGTTGATATTCAATTCTAAGGACGAAATTTCGCTCGGAGATGGTAACCATTGGAGAGTTTTGACCTTGTTGTTTTGTTGTTTCTTCTTGGAGAACGATTTTCTCGAGAAAATATGGTGTTTTCCCGGAAACTAAACTTCGGCGGAGATTCAATCAATTCTTCGTATGGGGAAGAAACTAGAACGTGCTGAGATACGGAAATGGGATCTTTCTGTGGTGTTGGTTTCCGAGGGATTTCGTCACGCCGTTCACGTTTGTGACATGTTTTAACAAAACGACGTGCAGTTCTTTTACCGTGGCTCTCTTATTGGATAGAAATATCCCGGTGTTGAATGAATGGGGTTTTTATTTTGAATTTTTGGATTAGTTTTTGGTTTTTGGCTTTTGTAGATTTGTAAATAAAAAAAAATGTAAGCTTTTGGTTTTTTTTTTTTTTCATAAAGTAGTTTTTCTGGTTTTTAAAATCTAAAAATTCCAAAGGATTTTCTCCATTCAAAGGCCTGATTATGGGCTTTGCATGAAATGTCGTTTGCTGTTTCCATCATCAAACGTCGTGGCGTTTATGGCACGAATAAACAACACTCAGTGAACATTCTCTCTCTTCCCCCCCTCTTCCTGTCACAAAGGAAAAGATAAAAGGGAAAATTTTCTCCCAAATTTCAGCCTCCACTCCTGGGGGCCTTATCTCCATTTCTTTGTCCCCATGACAAATAAATAAATTAAATACAAATAATAAATAACTATTATTTACGCTTTATGGACGTTGGTTTTCAGTTTTTTTTTTTATTCTTAATGAATTTCCATGGACCATAGCTCTGCACACAGAACCAGAGATTCTTCCTCTCCCATGGGCTAAGTGAAAAAAAAAAACAGGTGTTTCTTCTTTATTGCTCTGTAATAGAATTTCCGGTTTTTGTCTCTTCGAAGAAAGCGTACGGATTTATGTTTCCCTGAAATTTTGGAACTCCATCTAATTTTTTGTGTTCTGATTTCTCTTTGCATCTTTGAATCTCCGAAAACTGATCGCCGGATGGAGTACTGATAGGGGTTTCTCTGGTTTGTTTTATCGTTCTTCTGGGTGTAGATTACGTAAAAATACCCACTGGAAAGCGCGGATCTTTCTGCGTTTGGGAATTTGTTTGTACGTAAAGGCCTGTGTATATGTATCCGCATACGTTCCAGGAACTTAATTTTCCTCTGTCTCATCTTGTGTGTAATATTTGCCTGTGTTGAGAGATTCTGAAACTCGGATCTCTTGCATGGTTTGAGAAGAACGCTTATTCTGTTTCCAGGTATAACTCTCAATCTGCAGTTATGGCTAAAGAAGACATAAGTGCTCGAAAAGGCTCTCCAGTTAAGGTAACCATTTAAATCACTTGGTTCGAGCCGAGGTTCTTGTCTGATGAGGAAAAAAAACAGAACCCGTTACTTGTTTGAGTTTGATATTCGCAGAATCTTGGTGTCAGTTCATTGTTCTTGAATCGAATTACGCCCACTTCTTCAGTTTTTGGTACAGATTTTGTAGCTAATGCGTAGTCCTGAGCTATCGAAATTATGATCCTGGAGTTGATCTTGTTGGTGTTATCCTTGAAAGGTTACAAGAACTATGAAAGGGCATAAGACCGGCTTTTTAAACTATTACAGGCAGTTAATGGAGACTATAGCTGCAAGTCATGTGCAGAAGGAATCAGTTGCAGAACAGTGAGATCGAGAACGAAGCTGATGAACGTTCTGATAGAATGTGGAAGGCCACACGAAGTGGAAACCGTCTTCAGAACTTTGATAGATGCAGGCCATAAACCGTCCTTGATCACATACACGACTCTCCTTGCTGCAACGACGGTTCAGAAGCATTACGGCTCGATACGCTCCATAATCTCACGGGTCGAACGGAGCGGGACAAAACCGGACTCAATCTTCTTCAACGCAGTGATAAACGCCTTCTCTGAATCGGGGGAAATGGACGACGCGTTGGGAACTTTGTCGAAAATGAAAGAACTCGGTCTGCAACCCACCACCAGCACGTACAACACGTTGATCAAAGGGTATGGAATCGCTGGCAGGCCCGAGATTTCGTCAGAGCTGTTGGATTCGATGCTTGAAGATGAGAATAGCGGCGTCAGGCCCAATCTCAGAACGTTTAACGTGCTCATTCAAGCTTGGTGCAGGCAAAACAACGTCGAGGAGGCGTGGAATGTGGTCCGTAAGATGGAAGGATGCGGAATTCAGCCTGATACAGTGACTTACAACACGATAGCAACGTATTATGTGCAGAAAGGGGAGACCAGGAGAGCAGAAGAGGTGGTGGTTGAGGAGATGATGATGAAGAAGAAGAATAAGCAGAAAGTGAAGGTGAATGGAAGAACTTGTGGGATTTTGGTTGGAGGGTATTGCAGAGAAGGGAAAGTGAGAGATGGATTGAGATTTGCCCGTAAAATGAAAGATTTGGGAGTGTATCCGAATCTTGTGGTACTCAACTCTTTGATCAAAGGTTTTACTGAGGTCATGGACCGTGATGGCATCTATGAGGTAATTGTAGTCTCGTCAATATTATAAATATCTCATTTAGAATAGAAAACCAGAACCCGTGAAACTTAATCCGAATCCGAACCACAAGTTTCGATGTTTTACCTTGGAGGAGAGATCAAATTCTGAAATCTTGTCCGCTGAAAATGCAGGTTCTAAGCCTGATGAAAGAGTGCAAGGTCAAGCCTGATGTAATAACATACAGCACAGTGATGAACGTTTGGAGCTCAGCAGGGTACATGGACAAATGTGCACAAGTGTTCGAAGAGATGATCAATGCCGGAGTCAGACCAGACGCTCACGTTTACAGCATTCTCGCAAAAGGGTACATTAGGGGGAAAGAACCCGAGAAGGCCGAAGAGATTCTGGAGAGGATGATCGAATCGAAACATGAATGCAGACCCAACGTCGTGATCTTCACCACTGTGATCAGTGGGTGGTGCAGTGGCAGAAGGATGGAAGATGCCATTAGGGTTTTCGATAAGATGTGTGAATTCGGGGTTTCGCCTAACCTGAAGACGTTCGAGACGTTGATGTGGGGTTACTTGGAGGCCAAGAAACCATGGAAAGTGGAAGAGGTGTTGCAGTTGATGAGAGAGTTCGGTGTCAAGCCCGAGAAATCAACATTCATGCTGTTAGCAGAAGCTTGGCGTGTAGCTGGAATGGCGGAAGAGTCTGACTTTGTGCTTAATGCATTGAAGAGCGGAGAGATACCCATTGACAGGTTAGAGAAGCTTTACCAGAAGCAGACATGGAGCTGTAACCAGTTGCAGATTCCGGTCGGAAAATGGGCAATGTCGACTGTCAAATCCATGATGAGCCTATCTGTTCAGACGGGTAAACTCGGAGCTAGGGCACGTATCATTTGCCAGAAGCAGTCTCAAGGGCAATTTGGGATCTACAACCAGCTTGCTTCACATTCATGTACAGTGTTTCTGAACTGAAGAACCCAAAAAAAGGACTGGCTCCACCCTGTTGTCCATGTTCATGTCTGAAGCTGAAGATTTGAACCTCATTCTCCTTCTTCGTCTTCTTTTGTTGAAATTTATGTGTTTAATACTATGAAAACTCACTCTGTGTACATTCATATAAGATTTGTTATATATATATATATATATCACAGTTCTTACACAGTTTCTGTTTTACATGGCTTCTGAAACTTCATTTTCTGGGTAGAAAGTACAACTAACCACGAACCCAGGTTTGCTGAACATGCAAGTAGAGGTGGACATTTTTATCCGAGAACCACGGGTTTCCGGATACCCTATCTCGCGGGTATCCGAGACTCATTATCCGTGAGTCAATGAGATAGAGATCGTGTCTTGTGAGATGGAAAACCCGAGTTTCGGATTCAGGTTCGGGTTTGAAAATTTCGTCATCTCCCAGGTATTCGATACATTAAAAATTACAAAAATACCCTTAATATTTAATAAATTTACAACAATAACCTTAACAATTGGACTGTGGGCCTCGCCCCATTAAGATATGACCCAGATTACAATTGAGTTTTGCTCCTTTTCGTCCCACATCGGAAGATGGAATCGAGGGTAACATGCGATATGGAGAATAAAAGGCGCTGACCAATATTTCGAACAACAAAATAAATTAGATTACACGGGTTTGGGTTTCACGAGTACCCGGTCTCGTGTCACGGATATCCAAAATTCGGGTATCCGGGTTTTGTGAGATAGATATTGAGACATTGCAATCGAAAACCCGATGAAACCGAAGTCGAGATAAGGGTATCTTAAAAAGTTCGGATATCTGCCCGTGTCCACCCCTACATGCAAGAGAGAAGTCAATTTGTTTTTATGTTTGTGTCCCAATACTCTACATTTTATTTTTGACCCATAACTTTCATTTGTTGTTTTTTTCCCTCTGATAATTTTTTTTCACGTTTTTTAATAAATTCATCAACATTAACATCAAATCGCCTTAATCCCAAGTTTATTTGGGATCGGCCGCGTGGATTCTTCGTTTCCGCTCATTTCGGTTTCGCTTTACTTCTTTCAAAATTTATAACAATTCCAAATCATTTCTAATTACACGTTCCCAAGTAAACCTAGATTTAGAAAAAATAAAATTTACAAAAGAATTTGAATAGATCGGTCGATTCGATCTGAGTTGGAAATTTATAGGATCGGATTCCAGGTTTAATTATATAGATTCGAAAAAAAACGGACCGATCTAAATCCGAACTCAAAACCCTTAGATCGACGTGAACCCAAACTCGAAACTCTCGAATCGAGATTCGACACGGCCAGATTGACACCCCTACATGATTTGAGAAGTACGATCATTAGTAAGACCAAAATAGTATAATTCACTTTACTTCAAAAATATAATCAACTTATAAAGTTTGAGAGATTTATTTATGTATAATGGAAATCACACTAAATTACTATATCTGTTTGTGACAAAAAAAAGATTATTAGAGGAAAGTATTTTACAAAATCATAAAATCAAGATTTATTATATTAATATGTTTGTATTAGTGTGGTCCGATCGTGTATTTTGTGTTGGTGCATAAAGATTTTATTTTTTTATTATCGGAATTTATTTATAGTATTTAATGAATCACGTGAACGAAGGAAGGTAAAGCCAAGTCAGCAATGATGGATGTCTGATTTGTTCCAACCCCATTTTCCTGAGAGAGGGAGAGAGAAACCCTAGATTTGGTCTCCGTTACATTGGGGTTCCTTCTCTGACCAAAGCGATGGTGTTCTACTTCAAGGCCCGACCGGAAGCCGGCGATTACACCATCTTCATGGGACTTGATAAGTACGAGAACGAGGAACTCATCAAGTATGGCTTCCCTGAAGATATCTGGTAATGTTTTGTCATTGAAACCTGAATTCTGTAATTCGATTTTCTTGTTGTCCCCGAGTTCGTCCTGGTCACGGTTCTGGACAGAGCAGTTTCCTTGGTTCCTGAGATTCTGTTGGAGTTCTGTGAAGAATTGAAATGAGGGGGGAAGAAAATGAGGGTTTTTCCTTATCTAAGTTTTGGGTTTTCATTCTTTTTTTTTATTGGACTCTACACAATGACGCCTTATCTTGTTGTTTCTCATCCTTTGTCTTGTTTGAATTTTTGGATTATGCATTATATCTGATGATCAGGTTTCTTAGCCGTGAATCTTCGAGAAAGTTGTGAATTCTGGTAGAATGTGATTTCCTCTGTTTAGTTAAGATCTCTGAACTTTTCTGGTTGCTGAGAGATGCAAAAGAAATGGCGGAGAATTATGGCTGTCTTCTGTTTGAAAGTTACCATCTGTAATTGCCCTGTTTCAAACCTTTCGTTTCTGTCTGATAGTTAAACAGGCGTCTTCAGGGAGACCATGCTTGAAAGATACCATCATTTTTATTTCTGGTGTTAGATTGCTTTTAGTCTCTGTTGATCGTGTAATGGGGTTTTCACACAAATGGTGGTCTGTTGACGTAAAGTGATGTTGGTGTTCGGTTCTGGTTAGTTGCTAAGAAATCATTCAGGAAGGAACAATGAGAGAATTTAGTTCCCTTTCCTTAAAGCCCTGATGTTTAGAAACATCACTGTTTTCAGATTGAAAACAGCTTCTGAATGCGGTTCGGAGTCAATTGCTGTCATGCTGGTGTAGTCACCTATTATATAGTGTTACTATCAAAATTGATGAAATCCCTGAGATATCGGTGGCAGCAATTACATATCCATTCATAATATAAAAATGACAAGTCTTTTTTTTTATTTATATGACCTAATCAGACGTATGGCTATTTATTGAGCAGTGAATTCAGTTCTCCTGAAGCACATAGTTGTTATTCATTGTTGTCTGTTGTCTTTTTCTACCTTATTTGCTATTTTGATGTCGCGATGGCTATAGAGAACGGACACAACATTACTTTTTAGTTTCAAATTTTACATTTTGACTGGAGTTTTGTGGCTTTTATATTGGTCATAGGCTGTTGTTCAACACTGTTTCTGGGAAGCAACTTAAATTTTAAAGCACATTTGATGTAGGTTTCATGTGGACAAGATGTCATCTGCTCATGTTTACTTAAGGCTCCACAAAGGTCAGACTATTGATGACATTAGTGAAGGAGTGGTGGAGGACTGTGCTCACCTTGTGAAAGCTAACTCCATCCAAGGCAAATTTCAAAGCTTTTTTTTTCTCCTTTTTTGGAACGTAACTTTTGGATGTGATTATTCTTAGACTAAACTGTTTTTACCGTTCAAAATCATTTCAATTTCTTGGGTTTCTAGCAAAATCTCAGATAATGGCTGTTTTCTCATGGTTCTCTTGTCTGATATTATGTGCCAGGTAACAAGGTGAACAATGTGGATGTTGTCTACACTCCATGGGCCAATTTGAAGAAAACAGCCTCCATGGATGTGGGTCAAGTCAGTTTCCACAATCCAAAGATGGTGAGCTTCTCTATTTCTCAAGAAATTTTGCTTGTGTAGTTATACATGAAAAATGCACGAGCATGATATTATGAATAGATAGAGATACCTATCTCAATTCTCTGTTTTTTCCAGGTTCGGACAGTTAGAGTGGAGAAGCGGATCAATGAAATAGTTAACAGATTGAACAAAACAAAAGTTGAAAGAAAACCTGATTTGAAAGGTAACTCTTGGGTTTATGAGTTTCTTCATTGTACACCAAATTCTGGAAAATTTTTATTTTTGCAAGTGATTTTACCTGCTCATGGAATGTCAGTTTACTGGCTGACGGTCCAGTCAATCGTTGTTTTAGTATCTCTAATAACTAGTGTTTTCCTCTTAATTATGTTGATGAAGCCGAGAGAGAGGCAGTGGGTGCTGCAGAGAGGGCTGAGAGGAAGCAACAGCTGAGGGAGAAGGTCGTTTTTTTATGTTACACCTTCAAATCTCTCATCCTTCGGGCTACTGAAATATTCTTTCTCGGACTCTTTTTTTCTCATACGCAGAAAAAGCGTGAAGATATGGAGAGGCTTGAGAAGGAAAAGCAAGCCGAGATAAGGAGTTACAAAGGCTTGATGGTATCGGAGAAAATGACATCAAACAAAGACATAGCTTCAAGCAACAAATCACTTCAAGAACTCGAAGACGACTTCATGTAAGGGCGAAGATACGGGAAAAAAAAAGGAGAAAGATAGAAGAAAAAACAGCCCGGGGTTCGACATTTTACCAGAGGTTATCATCCAAGCTATTGAAAGGCAATGTGTTCCCTAGCAAGAATTATGTGATTGCCCGGTTTGATGTTTGTTTCAAAGTGTTGGAGACAAAACCCTAATCCGGTTCTTGGGGTTCTAGCCATGGAAGTGGTTCAGATGCTTAAAATCTTGTGAAAAGAGAGGAGCATGAATGTAACAGACAAAGGCTTGCCCAGTGATATTTGGTAGTGTTGTTCATGGTTTCTGTCTGTGCATGTTAATAATCTCTGTTTGTTCTACCTTATACTTTTATTTTTTTACCAAAAGGGCCCCATTATTTATGGAATTTATAGGGATAACCCTGATTCGTGAATCGCTTAGATATAATATTTGCATTATAAAATTTTAAGAGAGGCTATAAGTGAACATGTCACTCCACACTCTAATTACAGTTTTTACATTTTCTTATACAAACTAGAACTATTTTTCATATTTGAAGTTTTTTCCGTTTTAATAACTACTTTTTAATATAAACTAATATTTAAAATTCTTAATTTTATTATTTCATGTTCGATATATAAAATCGGTGTTCATATGAATTTATACAATAAATATTCAGTACAAAACTATATTCATCTATATATTTTATCATGTCTTGAACATTTGCAGCACTTTTTGGAACATGTTTGGTCTAAAAGTGGGGCCAAGGCTTCAAACGGTTGTATTTTTGGGCCGCCAAAACCGGGCACTACATATTGGAGGTTCATTCATATATAGAAGAATTTGAATTAAACCCAACAACTCTTTTTCAATTTGATTAGGAAATATAATCTAAATGAGGTTACAAAAGTAACGAAAAATGGATTTGGGGTGAAATACATAAATATAAAAAAATATGGGGAGAAAAAGAGAAGAAACAAATAATGATATGGCCGTTGTATGCTTTAAAAGTTTCAGACACGTGACAAGAAATATTTAAAATGAACGGTTGAGATAAACTTGAATATTAAATCACAGCCGTTGATTTAGAAGACCAACGCTTGGACCTATATAGGGTTTGAAAAAACCACACTCGAATGGAAATCATCCGCCCTTTGAGTTTGAATAAGCTGCTCACGCGACCGTTTTGTTCCTCTCTCTCTCTCTATTTTCTCTCGCTTTCTTGAGATAAATTCTCTTTTTCCAAACAGGCTCTGGATTTTTCTCTGTGATCAAGCTATCTAGTTTTCGCTTTTGTTTCTTGGGACGGGCCGCCTTTGGTCTCTCCAGTTGCGCGAAGTCTCGATCGATTTGTGGTCATGTTTATGCTGGTAGGTGGCGTCGGTGAGTTTGTGGCTTTTTATCTGCTGAATTTGAATTGTGTCTGGTCGATCTTCATATCTAGGTTGGATTTGGTCTGGTGTGTTGATGCATTTAGTGCCTGGTTAATCAAATCATATCTCTGAAAAAAAGGCTCGAGTGTCTGGGATCTGATTCGAGGATCGCCATTTTCAGAAATCGAAGCTAAAATCAGTTCCGTCTTGTCTTATTCTTCGAATTTAGATGGTGTTGAAGTTCTAATTTGAATTAGGTTGATAGCATTTTTTGTTTTAATTTTTTTTTCGTTGCTTCTTTTTCGTCAGCTCGTGGAATGGTGCAAACGAAGGGCTGAAATCGTTGTAGGCTATTGACTATAATGTTTCGGAGTACAAATTGCGAAGAAAATAAACGTCGTGTTGGGATTGGGGTAAACATTGTTGCTTTTTTGTTGAGAAAGTATGCAAGGTGAGTGTACACCAGTCTCAAACCTCAATGAGGGGCTCATTGATGGAAACCAACGAACGCGTCACGGGTATGCCTTTTTTTTCCTTTTTTGTGCTGCTAATGAGTTGTCAATTCTCATGGATATGCCTCCACATGTTTGGAAGGCCATTCCCTTGATAATACATATTGTGCATGTATGAACAAGCACGATTGACAAGTTTCTACTTTTGTTTCTATTCTGTGTCCATCTAAGAAGATTAACATGTTAGTCAAGCCATCAAGCACTGAATTGCATGGAAATTGCTTTTGCAGGAGGACTAGTGGCCCTGCAAGACGTTCCACCCGGGGTCAATGGACAGCAGAGGAGGTGGGAATTTATGTCTCATCCTGCTTTCATTCTTAATAGCTGAAAACACAATGGCAATCCTCTCTGCCTATCCGTTCTTTAATCCGGTGTCCTGTGTTTGATATAAGCAAGAGTCTGGCCTGTGTTTGTTGAGTTTCATTATGATAACTCCTTGCACCAATGATCATGTTTGCGTATAACTGATAGTTCTTTTTGCTTAGTTTCCTTTGTATGCTTAGATTTTTATACTGGAGCGGAGATACTTACATAAATATTACATAATACTTATCTGCATACTGACTTGTTGAAATTCTGACTTTGATATTTTCTTTCCAAATATGTTTTCAGGATGAGATCCTGAGAACGGCTGTAGAGCGTTTTAAAGGAAAGAACTGGAAAAAGATAGGTTTGTAGAACAAATTTGACATAATATGTATTTCTTGTCTTTCTTTTCGTAAATTTGGAATGCCACTCATTCTGTTCGGTATACTTTTTCATGAATTTTAGCCGAATGTTTCAAGGATCGGACAGATGTCCAGTGCCTGCACAGGTGGCAGAAGGTGTTAAACCCAGAACTTGTGAAAGGGCCGTGGACAAAAGAGGTGAGAATACAGCAGAGACTGCTTCGTGTTATGTGCATTTTGCATACTCTGTGAGCTTTATAGTTCTGAAATATCCTTGGTGACACTGCTTCTTGTTGCTCTCGTACATGTGTGAAGGAGGATGACATGATAATTCAGTTAGTCCATAAATATGGACCGAAGAAGTGGTCCACAATTGCTCGGTATTTACCTGGGCGTATAGGGAAGCAATGCAGAGAAAGGTCTACACTCATAGACTTGCTACTTTTTGCTAACTATAATGGGACAATTTTGCAGGTTGGATTTGAGCAGTTTTGCATTATAAAAATTGCATGGGTATTTAAAACGATTGTAATTCATGTAGGTGGCATAATCACCTCAATCCTTCCATAAACAAGGAGGCCTGGACTCAGGAAGAGGAGCTAATTCTGATTCGTGCCCATCAGATTTATGGAAATCGATGGGCAGAGCTAACAAAGTTCTTGCCTGGGAGGTACACGCTTTTACTGTCTTTTGAGCATTGTTATACATCATTCTTCTCACAATATTCTTTTGACTGTTCCTAGAAATATCATTCCTCTTCCTATGTTATTAACAGGACGGATAATGGGATTAAAAATCACTGGCACAGTTCGGTTAAGAAGAAGCTTGATTCCTACCTGGCGTCTGGCCTTCTTGATCAGTACCAGGCCTTGCCTGTAGTTCCTTTCCAGAAGAGTTCCATGTTTTCATCTTCTGGTCTTATGCAGAGAACTACTGATGATAGTGGGTGCTCAGGTGGATTGGAAGAGAAGGAACCTGAAAGTAGTAGTCAGAATTCAAGTACGGCTGGCTACTCACTATCTGCTACAGATTTTCCTGGACTTTCAAGTACCGGGCAACACTTCCACACAAGTGAAAATCCATGCGAGAATGAGCATGCCACACTAGCAGCATATAATCTAGATCGGTTTTTCTACCCTGAATTGGAAGATATAGCAGCCACTGTTTCAGAAGTATCTTGTGAAATGGAGGATTCCTCAAAGTTTCCTGATCACAGTGTAGTAACTTCTTCAAGCCAGGATTGCCAATTCAGTTTGCAAGATCTACCTGATATTGCTTCACTTGAGCTGAGGCAGGAAATATCAGAGTTATCTACCATCTACATGAATGAGGGAATCAAATCTAAAACTCCACCAGTTCAGACATCATCTAGTTTGCAAGATTCGATTTCTATGCCAAGTATGGATATTGCTAGTTATCAACACTTAACAAATCTTTTGATATCTGATGGTGAATGTTCTGGGGTCCTTTTCACCAATCAAGAAAATAAGGAGCTGTATGTCTCTGGATCCTTGCTTCAAGAGCCAAAAGTGGCTGATCCTGCAGAACATCGAGATTCTTCTCTCTGCTCATCATCTTCAGACAATCAGATATCAGAAGCTACCAAAACTCTTGCTCTGCAAAGCTGTTCTTCAAGATTCTCTGCACTGGCAGCACCATGCAAGGAAACTCTCCGGCCCACTCCTTTGATAATATCATCTGATAAGTGTACTAAGGAATCAGCTAGGTTGATCTGTCATCCTTTTGAGGTAGAACCAAAATGCGGCATAAATGCAAAGGATAGTTTCATATACATTGATGTTCCAACCAATTCTCCTTGTGCCAATGAGGAAACTGAAACTTCTGGCCAAAAGGACCAATCATATCATGTGAATGACTCCAAAAAGTTGGTTCCAGTAAATGATTTTGCTTCTCTGTCAGATGTTAAGCGAGACTCCCCTCCTATCAAATGCGAGCCAGATGTGAATAAGGAGATGCAGCATGAAGACCTGGGAGCTTCTTGTCATGAATCTCTTTGTTTTCCCAGCCTAGATCTCTCTTTTTTCAGCTGCGATCTTACGCAATCAAAGAATGATTTGCTGCAAGACTATAGCCCTCTTGGTATGCGCAAGCTACTGATGTCCACTGTGACATGCATGAGTCCCCTTAGGCCATGGGACTCTCCCACTCGAGATCACAGTCCAGGTGCTGTTCTCAAAGCTGGAAAAAAGACATTTGTTGGTGCACAATCAATCTTGAAGAAACGGAACCGCGAGCTTCTGACACCACTATCAGAAAGAAGAAGTGATAAAAAGCTTGGAACTGATATAACAAGCAGTTTGGCAAGAGATTTTTCACGTCTAGATGTCATGTTTGGTGAGAGTGGGGATCAAGAATCATCTCTATCATCTCCTACATCTATATCCGTGAACTATATTGGTGCCTCCCATGAAGACAAAGAAAACTGTTGTCGAGCTTTGAATGTAGAGCACGAAGAAAATGGGAAGGATAAGTCTTCTTTGCTGTCAAGTCGTAAAATGTCTGTGGAAAACATCCATTGCAGAAATTCTCTTAAGAATGGAGAACAAGCTTGCTCGGAATCAAATACTGAGGCAAAGGATGTATCTGAACCAGCTGCTCAAAATGTAAGTCTGTGGTCTTACATATTTTGAGTCGTCTACTTTCCCACAATCTATTAAACCTCCAGGTTCTGGTTTTGCAGAAATATTTATACAACTTGTTACTATCTGATGATGGCCATAGCCATCTTCTGGTGCTATCTGTGTTCCTAATCTCCGTTAAGATTCCTTAAACTGCCTCAGTTCACCTGTTTTGAACTTAGCAAATTTGCATTTTCTTTTCTTTTAGAAATGGCATTTTTTCCCAGAACTTTTGCTGTGGTACTGGATTTAAAATGACCCTTTACTGCTTTTACATGTATTTAGATCAGAAACCTATAATGATCAAATAACTGTACCCGAACCAACAGGTTTCAGTTGTGTATCATAAAACTGACCTCTGATTGCATTGTGCTTTAGAATTCATACCCTATGCAGCATTGATTGTCTGATAACCGTAATGTCAGTTGATCATTGATTTAGACACTGCAATTTGCAAAATTCTATGTGCATATGTTAATCCAAATAGAAAATTATTGCTCTCAAGTACAAACCCCCAAGAGTTATAGGCATTTCACAGTTATTCACCTCAGGAACTATTTGCTGCCATTTATGTGTTTTTACATTCACATTCTGCATTTCAAATCTCATGCAGGATGAGAGCATCTACTGTGTTCTTCCAGAACGCAATACCAACAAACAAGTTCCGTTTTCACCTGATCAATCCATTTCCAGGGCAGAAAAATCACAAGTTTCCACCCCAGGAAGCCACTTGCACAGAACTCTTATGGTCACTTCTAACAAAGAACATTCTTCTGCAAGTCTCTGTTTGGTCATTAATTCGCCTTCTCGCATAAGAAACATGGAGGATCATCTTGTTGACAGCAGCACAAGCAATATTGCCAACGATAATCTTAGCATGTACATCTTGGTTACTTTTCCATGACTTCTTTTTCTCTGTTTTCCATCAGTTCTCCTCTCATCAACGTTTTTCTGGGTTGATCTACAGATTATGCGGAACTCCATTCAGGAGAAGTCTTGAATCCCCATCAGCCTGGAAATCTCCCCTGTTCATCAACTCTATCTTTTGCAGTCCAAGGTTTGACACAGAAATGACCCTTGAGGTACGGACACTTGTTACAAAATAGGAAAGTAGATTAAAAAGCTGCCCTATTCAACAACATTCGGAAACTCCTCAGGCCATGTTCTCTAAGAAAGATACCTTTTTACTCTTGAAGCATCAGTATTATGTCATGTTACGCTGTTCTTTCAGGACATTGGCTACATTTTCAGCCCTGGGGACAGAAACTACAACGCTGTAGGACTCATGAAACATCCAAGTGAGCATAAGGCCGAAGCATCGACAGATGTTAAGGAAGTTCCATCAGGTGACGAAGCTCCAAAAAAATCATCGAGACATACCCAGATGAACAAAGATAACGAAAATGCTCGTGGTGTCCAGGTATGTTTTTGCTACTTTAGCATTATAAGCCAAATTTTTTAACTCTAGGAGTAATTTTGGTTTAGTTTACTGAAACGTTTCTGGCATCATTTGAAACCTGAACTTGGTATATACCTCCCGACAGTGAGATCAGTCATGACTTTTTGGTCTGAATCGAAATTGCAACCTTAGTTTCAGAGTAGTTAGGAGATAGATTTGGTTTAGGGGGCATTTGCAGCAGCCACCTTTAGCATTACAAGCCAAATTTTTTATCTATCTGGTTTCGTTGAATACACATTTGCCCCTGTTACCTATGAGAGCTTCCTCTCAAGATCAGTTATTATCAAACTAGAAACCCAACCAAAATCATCAAAAAAAAAAAAAGAAGCAAATTGTATATTCATCAATTATACACTGAAAGTCTGAAAAGCAAAGGAATGAAAATGAGAAACGGGAATAGCCCGGATGCATCTTTTTCTTCCCTTTTATCAAACTGATCCATTATAATATGGAATGTTTATGTGAGATGCTAAATCTGAGGTGACGATAAATCAGGAGGAGCGCCGTGTGCTGGACTTCACCGATTGCGAGTCGCCGGTGAAATCAATCAACTTCAAACGTTAAACATTCCACCTACTGCAGGTAAGAAAAAAGAAATCTTCTACATCATACATATACATATATAACTGTGTATATGTATGCATATATACATATATAGAGAGAGAAAGAGAGAGCTATGTAGATGGTGTTCTGTATGAGTGTTCGGAATGTATACATATTTATGTAATGGACTGTTTGGTGTTGGTTGTGCTTCTAAGGTTGGTGCTGCTGTGCGTGTGTGCGAGTATTATATGATAGAGGCCAATTAATGCATCAAACCCCTAAATTTCAAATATCTCGTCTACTAAAGAGATGGATATGTATCCATCAACAGAGAGAATCCAGCCTGTGGTTCGATTTCGGATTTGGATTTTGGCCACCAACCACGGGTAACCTGAGCAAAGAGGGTGTGTGAGGGCGTGTAGGTGAGACTGGAAATGGACGTGAGGACGTGAGGGCAAGGGAGGCAACAGTATTGTCGTGACTGAGGTACGAAGAATCGCTCGTTCGTCCTTACATAGCCTTGCCTCTCGGGACCGATACATCTCTCTTTCCACGCGTTGACACTCTTT